CTTCTCTCTTTCCTCCTCCACAATGTATTTGTACTTTAGTAACACTGATGATCAGCTCCTAATTAATATTTGACTCCAGGCAACCGAGCTCAGAGTTGGGCCACACTGGAGGAGCTGCATGCCCAGGGGAAGCTGAAGGCCATCGGAGTGTCAAACTACACACCAGCACACATGAGAGAACTGATGCAGAGCTGCAAAGTCCCTCCTGCACTGCTACAGGTAGAATGCACGAGAGGGAAAGGAAAAAGGATAACGCATATCATAATATACTTACATTATATATTTTGTTGTTGTTTCTTCAGGTAGAGTTTCACCCCAAGCTGTGCCAGACCGAGCTGAGGAAAGTGTGTAAGGAGTATGGAGTGTGTTTCCAAGCGTTCTCCTCCTTAGGGAAAGGAGAGCTGGTCACTGACCCTGTGGTCTTGGAGGTGGCAAAGAATTGTGAACGCACCCCTGGACAGGTAAACACACACACTCACAAACACACACACACGCGCACACACACAATGTATTTTTGGGCCATCCTTATTGACACAGTTTTCAATAAAGATTTTTTAGCACACACACTAGGTAAACATTTAGGTCTTTTGTTCCCCTTCAGGTCCTCTTACGCTGGGCTGTGCAGCAGGGCGTCCCAGTGATCCCGAAATCTTCAAATCCAGACAGAATAAAGGACAATGCCAGGCTTTTTGACTTCACACTGAGTGACGCAGACATGGACAGACTGTCAGCTTTGGACTGTGGCCGCAAATACTGTCGGGATGCATCACTAGTGGTTTGATAAACCACTAGTGGAATAATAAACTTTATTGTATCGCACCTTTCATACAAGAAATGCAAGACAAAGTTCTTTACAATAAAGGAAGATAGACATAGATGAACATAAAAACAGGGGAAATAATATCGAAAATACAACACACTGTCCTGTCATGATGCCTCTTCCAGGGTTTCCACACATCACTAGTGAATTTCCGAAGCTTTCCCATAATATTTCCCCCTTTTTCCAAGACTTAATCGAAGCTGTTTGAAATAGGTAGGCCTATAAAGCGAACATATGGTGCATTTAAAGACAGTGGGAACTCTGCTCTTTAATGCTGCTGCTGTTTAGCTCTGACTGGGCAGCGATACAGTGGCGGGACACCACCACCAGAGAAAGTGGGAAATTGGAGTTTAGACAGCAAGCACATTGGGCGAATGTATTGAGGATTTAGGTAAATGTATGTACTGAGATATCTAAAGGTTTAAGTAGCATTTTAGACAATATTGGCCAGTAGGTCGTCCTGTATGTTGTGACCCATATGCCATGAAACACTGATCCTTTTCAGGCAGTACATGTGTTGCTTACTGACCCCCCCCCCCCAAAAAAAATATATTTTCTGTTAACAAATCTGTCAATGTGCCATCATTTTAGGACATTTAAATAAATACTATGGCTTTTGTGTTCACATTGAATTGTCAATGAACTGCTACAAATTCGCAATAAAAACAAAATGGCCTTTTCATAGTGTCCTTGTTTGCTGGAGAATTGTACAGAGAATAACACAAGAGACTCACTTTAAAATCACTCTTAAAATTATTTATTCAGGACAGCATCTACCAGAAGTTTCAAAGATGTAGAGAAAACTTACAAAAGTCATTAAAAAAATGAGAAAGAATCCCAAAAAAAAAAGAAATTTTATAATGCAAAGTTCTCCGCACACATCTGTAGATTCAAGTAATACCAAGGATGGTTGCAAAACTCCAGGTGGCCAGGCCAGGGTGTGTTCTCTGCCACACATGTTTTTAAAAGTCAAAATTACAACATGACTTCCTCTGAAATGGCTTTTCCAGCACTCGCCATCGTAATATTTTTGTCACAGTTGTGACAGCGAACGCACCGCCACATTTATTGTGCTTTTTTGTTTTGTTTTCTTCAGCGCAATAGGTGACAGCGAGCTGTAAAGTTTAAGGCGGTAATTGGGTAAACAGACAAGGCCGGTTATGCGGCTTCACATCACAGGTTACAGCATGTTCAAGGCAGTTCATGACAATATTAAAATCTTAAATTTCATATTCATATCCGGGCCCCGAGCTCTCGACACCGTGTACATATTCTCTCAGCCAGCTGCTTGTGTCAAGTACAGCTACAGATCTGAGTGACTTAAGAGTAAAACACTATTTCTCATGACGGCACAACTACTTGAATACCCATTCCTAATGTCCCTGTTAGTGTGTGGGACAAATCCAATATCATAAAATGGTTGAGTCACTTCTGTAACAGCATAGTCTAACTGTATTAATTGAGTTGGAAGCTTTATACCAAAATGTTTCAGTGAATACGTCGTACTTACACAGTCAGGGTTGCACAATACCAAACATGTCGGTAGACTTAGATACATCTTAAAAACCGGTGGTGCCATTCAGATTGTCTAGAATTCTCTGATTTAAAAAAAACGGTCCTGAACCAAGTTTTAGAAAAATCTATAAAAAAAAAAAAGAAAGGTGGAGAAAAAGTTTTAAAGAAGATACAAACGCATCCCCGCTCAGCCTGCACACCCGAGCACTTCACAACTCAACCCTACAAGTCGAGAGGAAGAGAGTTAAGACATGAGTAGAACAAACCTATCACCGTGTTCAATAATCACATATCGATAAACAAGTCACAAATAGCCTCATCATATTCCCCAAGCTGTGTAGAGTTACTAATCGTGGTGTATAATCATTAACAGCAATAATAATAACACCCACAAATGCCATATTGTGTGTGTAGTATGTGCCGGGTAGTCCTTAAAAGCCTGAATATAATACATTAACAACAAATGTCGCCTCAGATCAGCACTCCTAGACCTTAAGGCTTGATAGATTGAGACCCCGTTTTATTCACGTCCCAATGCAGATCAGAGTGAACAGCTTCTAAACCCAACCGCACTGGCAACTGATTCAACAAACATTACAAATAGTTTGGAAAAGCCAAGTTTACGTCCCCTTCCACCTGTGTTTCAATGTGACTTAAGAGTCTCTAAATCCATCTTCTCTGTGCACCGGGTCCTGAATAAATGGGGCCAAAAGCTAGTGTGTGTGTGTGTGTTGGCTCCTCGTAAAGCAGTTAACTCATCCCCACCCACATAACATTTATCACAACAGCCATGGATTGTACACTGCCTATTGCTAGGTTGGCCAAACGTATTAAAGAGCACAGTCACCTTGTAAAATAGGAACTTGTCAAATAAATGTCTGGCTCATAACCCCCACCCCTGCAATTTGACAGAATAGAATATTCACAACATATTTACACATAAAAGTTCCAATGTCTTTTTTTTGTTTTGCTCATCCAAGGCTTTTTAAAAAGATAGATTCATATCGGTTTGTGCTTTTATATGTACGTTTAATTCTCTTCAGATATAATCTAACCCTGAAGTTTTACAAAAGATAGTATTTCTGCATCGTCGTCGGAGATTGTCCTTGTACAAGATTGTTCTTCTTTTGATAAATTTGAGATATAAAGCAGTTAATGATAGTCGAGTACAGTCGTTTGAATGGTACTGGCTTGCAGGTAGTAGAACGGGAAGTTGGATAATGGCCCCCGAGTTGTATACTTTAAAAAAATTCCTTCCCTTTTTATACTCTTTCCTCTGTTGCCTCAGCTCATTGTGGCACACTATTGCAGGAGTCTCAGCTTGTATTTAAGCACAAACGTGTGGAGCAGAGCAAAACCAGCATTAGTAACACATCGTCATTGCTGGTTTCCTGGAAGGAAATTCTAACAGCATTCAAGGAGGCCTCTAAAAGTCAGGTGTTTTGATTTCAGTGCATGCATCTCTCCATCTACAGTATATTGCATAGTGTCGACGGCGAGAGACAACTGAAGTGGTTAGTGGCCACCTATCAGATCCACTTCTATCTTTCTTTGTGTTCAAGAGATCATCTCTCCTCTCTCGGCCCATTGTTGTATCCGTTCTGTGGGGTTCAGATAGCCAACAGTCCATCCTGGCCGACCTTTACCATTTCACAGTGGGCTGCCCAGCAATATCGTTAACACCACAACCAACACCGATACAAAAAAGTTTATTTAAATGTAGTTAACCACTCAGTTAACTCAGTTAATGGCTGAGTGCCACTCAGCCGTGCCTTTTGTGTTTTGGATTTTTGTTCCAACCAACCTTTCATCCGTCCTTTCTCAGAGCAGCTCTTTTTGTTCTCCTCACAATTGTTCTCTTGGCTCCTCCCACTGCTCTCCTCTCATTCCCATCGATTCCTTCGAACCCCCACCCCCCGGTGCCTATTCAGTGCGATGAGCGTGGTTTTCATGGTGGTTGTTCTCTCCCTCCATCTCCTGGTGACTGAAGAGGTAGCTCCACCAGCTTTTTGAGTGGTGCATCTGTTTGGTCGTCCCAGCACTCTTCACCCGCCTCATTTCCTGCGCCAAATAGAAATTAAGTTAGAAATAAACTAATTTGTTTTAGTAGGGAAAACCCCTTAAAACGCTCCTTCCATCCTCTGACCCCCTCACTCTCACCCCTTTGTCTAGCAGGCTGTCAAACTCGTCGCTCATCCTTCGGAGCTGCCGGCCGTATTTCTTGGCTGCCCACAAAGCGGGGGGAGCCGACTTGGACCGCACTCTGAACGGAGCTCCGTCGGTGGGAGTGCCAGCCTCGTCTGCCCAGAGCTCCTCGTCTCGGGAGGCCGTGGAAGCGACGGACTCTGAGTTCAGCCTGATTCGACCCGTCACTAAGGGAGGCAAAGTTGAGAGGGGTTTGTAATAGGTGAGAGGGGTTTGTAATAGGTGAGAGGGGTTTGTAATAGATTTGATTTCTTCCAAATTAGGCCCAAAAGACAAAGCCAAGAAACAGAATCTGCATTGCAGCAGCTGTTGCAGAAAACTAGATTGGAACAGATGACTTTATCGCTTTCTGTTCCTACAATAACTGCAGCTATCAATAATAAGCAAAAGAGAAGTCGTGGGTTTAGGTTGAATTTCCCCCCCTTTCCCACAATGCTTTGAGATTTCCTACCTGGTAACCTGAGCTCAGGTAGGGTGAGGGAGTGGCGTTGAAGAAGCTGCTGCTCTTGCACAGACGATAATTGGTTATTTTCTCCTTCCTCTACCTCCTCCGATGGGTCTGAGTCGCTGTCGGATATGGTGAAGTGTGCAGCCATCGTGACATCTGGAGAAGAAAGATTCAGGAAGTATTAGAAACAGGGATGCATTAAAACCCTCTGAAGTTATGTATATTACACGGAAATGACTCTAAGTAGATGCACACGCTGTACACTGAGGCTGCCCCCCCCGGTTGTTTTTGTTCTTAATCGACTAAGATTTGTTTTGTCGATCAGTAACTTTATCTGCTTTATTTCATGCTTATCTCCAAGAATATATTAATAAGTGTCAATGTTATTAAGACCACAGCTGGCTAATGTTAGTGTTGCCCTAAACTTGACTTGTTTGAGAGACCTGGAAACACATACAGTATGTTGTCCATACAAATAAAATGAAATCATTCATCCCCCTCTCTATTATAAAGATTACAAAGAGCAAGGTACAACAAAAACTCTTGAGGACAACTGTGCTGCCATTTTACTGCCAAGCAGCACATTAGCTAATTATTCAGGAATCATAAAATGGCATCATCCATTGTATCTCTGATGCTACCCCCATCTAACACACCCAGCAGCCTATCTGTCCCTGCTGTGAGACCAGTCCAAAGGTATTCACACCAACAATCCGCCACATAACCGACTAGTTTCGACAACACGGAGCAATATTTGATACCATTAACGACGTGTTGTTACACTGTTATTAAAACGAGCCTTTATTCCTTCTTCTCCGGTCAACACAACTGGCTCGCTTGTTTTGTTGTTGTTGACCGAAGAGGACAAAAGAAACTTCCTTCAGGGCGGTAGCTGCCGAGGGGCTAAATTAGCCACCGCAGTGTGTACAAGACAAAAGTATGAATATGTTTCCTTACCCGAAGTCTTTATAGCTTGAGCCCGAAAAGTGCGAGTGTATGCTCAGTCGGCCTCATGTGGCCGCAGCTGTTGTTTTTGTTATCGGCGTCTTGTCCTCTTTTTCGGTACAATACAGTTTAGCTCCTCGCTCACCCAATCCCCGCGCGTCAGTGCACCGCCGCTGCGCGCTGACGTCACTGTTGCGAGCTAGGACTGGGCTGGGGCTTTGTTTGTGTTACCGGCTTACCGTAGCGTTCGGTGTAGAGGCGCAGCAGGATTTAATATGGACTGAAGTCTGGCCACTAATATTGCTATCCACCTATTTTCACATATCTGGCAGTGTTGGGATTCAGATCCTATACTAAAAAGTAGTAATACCACCATTTTATAATAGGTTACTCTATTAGAAGTAAAAGCCATTACATAGACTTATTATGTAACATAATGGCTCCTTTAAGAGGTATATATATATATATTGTTTTATTTGAATATAATTACTGATGTATTACTGTGTAAACAACATATTGATGTTGTAGCTGGTCGAGGTGGAGCTAATGTTACCTACTTAGTATATACTGTTTGGTGGTTTAATGTATAAGAATGCATCATATTTTCTAAAATGATCATCTGTTTTACAAGTATCTTAAGAAGTCAGGTACATGTAGTGGAGTAAGAAGTATAACATTTGCCTCATAAATGTAGTGGGGTAGAAGTAGAAGGTAGCATAAAATGGAAGTATTTTAAAGACTTGTGGAAATACAAGTTTGGGCTTGGGCCATGTTTGTTTGCCTTTGCCTGTGTTGACTCTTTCTCTCTGATAGGGAGACAGACAACATAAAAAAAGATTGAGGCTAAAGGTGAATCAAAAGTAAGAGAAGAACCCATGTTGCACAAGAGTTATGTAAGATTTGTTTCTGTCAGATGTTATGGCTGATAAAGAGAGGGTGGGCCAAGAGCCAGCACATGCAAGTGTAAACACACCGATTATACTGTCTCACACTGAAAATGAGAAAATAATCATCCTTTAGAGTAATTTTAATCAGTTTATATTTGTGGTAAGACGTATTAGGCATCCACCAAACTGATAACAAAGAAATGGAAGCTCGTCTCGTTCAATCTTGTCTTGTGTTCTTGTCCCCTCTCTTTTTCCTTTTTCCTTCGTGAGAGGAGAAGAGTACAAATCCTGATCAGTTGTCATACCGTGTATGAGCAGCAGGTGGCGAGGCACGCCCACAAACGGATCTTTTCTAATGTTAGCTGAGCAGTGCTCCTCTTTGGTCACACTGCTTCACCTCCCGTCACAGGTCATGTGGTTTCTTGCGAGAACGAAAAAGAAAAGGAAAAAAAAATCCACATATTTTGCAACGTGGAAAATGTCATGACGTTGGGATTGGTGTTGCCCACACCAATTGCGTTATAAAATCTACGTCAGTGGGAAAAATACTGTTTCTCATTTCCTGAAAAAAGCTGGCAGTGCAGAAGTGATGCTTTTGACAGTGCTGCTTGTGTGAAAAACATGTCCTCCGTCTCATATTGTTTGAACAAAACAGTTACAACAAAGCAATACAGTATACATGGTGCGTGTGGCACTGTGCATCCTCTATAGTGCTCGTCTCTCTAATTTGCCCTCTTGCACTTTCCTCACATCAACGCAGGAGATTCAATCATGTAATTATCTACCATTTATATCTGCTGCCTCTATTCCTCCTCTCCTCCTCGACATTCTTCTGACTCCCCTCTCTTGCACTGAGAGCCTCTTGTGAGATTAGAAACAAAATTAGCCTATTTTGCAAAGTCAGTAAGTGACACTTGAGTAGGAGGAGCGAACTATCTCTGTAAAAAACTGTGGCGGGATCCGAGGCGATGTGATGCATCTTCTTCTAATTCAGTGTATCCAAATAGAACTAATGTGAGTTTCTAAGCTTAGACAAACAGGCAGAGTCCGCGCAGTCGGCTTTCGGGTGCGAGGATAGTGCAGCTCTAGAAAATGACTGTTGAGACTCGCTTCTTTTGAACTATTTTTGGAGGGATTATAGAAATAATACATGGGAGTTCTTTCTTTGGTCGGACTCGGGGTGGGGGGGGGGGGGCATTTGAGAACCATATAATTATTATCCATTTTAATCTGTATGTGCTGTATGTGTGTGTGAGCAAAGCCATGTATGCACTACGTTTGTAACATTTTAACGCCATAAAGCTGCCATCCAAAAGAGTGTGTACACAGTTTCTCTCACAAGCAGGATCCTTTTTTTCACACACATACCCGGACAGAGTGTTTTTGTGTTTAAGTCTGCTGGATCTCAGTGTAAGCTGAAGGAGCCATACAATTAGCATCCATTTATATCTTCCTGTACAAACCTCGCCCTGCCTCCCTGCACCTCATCTGGCGGTTATTTTGGGAAACGGAGGCGTATGCACTCCCACACTGTCTCTAAACCACCACTCAGTGCGTGTGTGTTTGTGTGTGTGTGTGTGTGTGTGTGTGTGTGTGTGTGTGTGTGTGTGTGTGTGTGTGTGTGTGTGTGTGACTGTCTGTGTGGCAGTTTGAGAGCAAACGCAGCAGCGCTTCCAAGCGGCTCCCAAAACATGCCTTCCAATTTAATGCCAGGACACTGCCTGCCTGTCGGTCTGTCTGCCGCCGCCGCTGCTTCAATCACCATCCTTTCAAGCATTTTCCCCTCTCTGCAGACCCCAGTTCAGTCTACGTGGGAGCTGAGCAAGATGCAGAGCAGGTTTTCAATTATTTGAAGTGGGAGAGCTTGGAGAGAAGAAAAGAAAATGGATTTCCCAATGCCGAAAAAGATGAGAAGCAGACCCGAAATACAGACAGTGTGTGCCAGACATGGAGGGAGGAAAGTAACTGAAAGAGCAACAGAGGAATGATCAAATGTAAAGACAGACCAAGACATGAGAGAAGTGTCTGAGAGTGCAGAGAGGGAATTAGGGTAATAAAAGAGCAGAAGAGGTGGCAGTAAATGTAAGAGATTTGGATTAATAGAATAAAGAAGAGTCCAAGAGACATAAATCAGAGGAATGGCACAGGTGTAAGAGACAGGAACAGGGAAGGAGCAATCTTTACCTACATCAGAGTGAATGCTCTCCTCCAGCCCCCTCATTCAACTCTGGCCCTTTGGTCATTTCTCTCAGAACATGCTCATTATCTACGGACCACTCCCTCGCTGTATAACTAAGTCACTCTGTGATCACAAGACCGGCATATGGCAGCTTTCTAATTCCATTCAGCTCTGCCCTTGTGCAGCTTGTAACCCAGCTCTTCTTAAACTGAAGTTTGGGACTAAAAATGGGTTGCTGACTTTGGCTCCAGTGGATAAAAAACAACAACCCCAAAAGGCCCAGCTCAACAAGACATTTGATCTAGGACTGGTGTTGAAATCGTTCTCTCCTCATGACAGGAGAGAAATCCGTCATTGAGTTGAGGAAACGTTCGGTTCCCAAGTACAAATAAAGATGTGTTAAGAAGCTCTTGTCTGTTGAATATCGCCAAACGTTAAAGGCATTGTTAGGAAGCACATAGGAAATGTGCTTTCCTGCCAATATCACACTGTCTCACTGTCTCGATGCTAAATATGTAGCTTCATATTTAGCGGACAGACATGCCAGTGGTATCAATCTTCTCATCCATCTATCAACAAGAAGGCGAGTACGCATATTTCCCAAAATGTTGAACCATTCCTTCACATTAAAAGAAAAGACTAATGTGACATTATAAAGTTAACAGAAAAAACACACCCTTTCCGGCAAGAACCAACTGTCATCCTATATTTGAAATAATCTGTCTTCCATGTCCTGGCTTGGCTAAAGGTTAAAAACTGTAATTAACATCTGCCTTGACTTTAATGGACACAAACACACACACACACACACACACACACACACACACACACACACACACACGCACACACACACACACACACGCACACACACACACACACACACACACCTACCTACCCATGCCTGATATCTATCTTGTCAACTTACAAGCCACCCACACTCTCGTCCGGCCCCCTTTTTCAACCCTCTAATATCATCAATTACGTTTTAGGCTGTTTTCATGTGGTTGGAGTGGTATGTGTGCTCAGAGAGCTACTGTAGATATACATATATACGTGCTGGTCTGAAACACATGTACTCCATATGTGAACTTTGAGGCGTACACATGGTACATGCCTGTCATTATGTAGTCTGATGATAGGTGTAGTCTTTGTCTAACTCAGGCTGTCAAAACAAGATCATGATATGGATGGGATGTCCTGCTCCTCAGACTCTAACCTCCGATTCAATGCATGCTGAAGCCGTGTACAATTCAGGTTTTTAATTATCGTCTGCTGGCTGCAACTAAGTGATAGATCATTAAGTAAGCATTAGATATCATTAGTCATTATCACAATGCTGCTTTAATTGTCTGCAGTTAATTTAGCTTTTGTTGGCTAACCAGTTTATGTATACCACGGTAAAGCTCTGCCTGCGCAAAACATATTTTCATGCTTCCCTTAGTTATCATTGAGCCTCCATACAGTACAGTGCCATACAGTAAAGCCAATACTCTTGCCCAATTAAATCATAATTTACTGTATCGCTGAAATCTTCTATCACTATCTTATAGGTGCTGATTTTGTTGTATAAGACAAAATACATGAGATTGATTACTTTTTACTAAAATCATGGGTTGGCTTCTGGGGCTCCATCCCTGCAGGTTTTTCTCAAAAGCCCAGTATTTTTTAGTTTTTTTTAAAAATACCTTAAACTTTGTGTCATTTCCCCTCAGTCTCTCTGACTGCACCAGCGAAATAATGAAGCCAAATTCCTACCCTACCTATATATATGTTACGTAACTTACAAATGCCAATTTTTGCATTTTTTAGCCGGAAGGAATGAAAATGAACATGCAGTTAGAAAACCAAAACAACGCCTGCTTTATTTTTTGCACAGTATTTTGATATTATATCTTTAGTCTGCTGTTATGATGCCTGTCAACCTGCTAATCAAAGGCATCGTATCAAAGCAATTATTAGGTCAGGTGACACTTCCAGTAGCTGTGCTCCAAGCCTCTGTTTTCCCCTCCATCCTTCACAAGGAGAGGTAATCCATCCTCCTTAAAGATTTTATTTGTTTTGCTGTGACAGTGATGAGAGGCAGGAAATTGGGTGGAGA